AAAACACTCAAAAAATCCCTCCCCTCATGGAGCTTACATTCTAATGAGGGAAAATAAATAACATAAATGAGATGCATAGTTTGCCATATGGTGGTTGCTTTAATGAAGAAAAACAGAATAGGGGAAAGGAAAGTCAAGAAAAGAGGGTACAGTTTTAAATAGGCTTGGTATGGATGCCTCCCTGATGAGACATTTGTGCACAGATCTGAAAAAGGTGAAGAAGCAAGGCAGGTGAGTGGATCCCTGAAGAAAGTTAGACACACAGAGGGAAAGGTCCTGAGGTGGGGTCAGGGGGCGGTGTCTGGCCTGCTTGAGGAACAGCAGAGAGGCCAGCCGTTTTAAAGTGAGTGAAGAACAGGAGAAGCAGCATAGCAGAAGTTCAGGGTAGAGGGACAACAAGGCCAGATTGTGCAGTCTTACAGGCCACTAAAAGGACTTTGGTTTTCCCTAAATTATGATACAAAACAATTGAAGAGTTTTGAACGGAGGAGTTAAGTTACCTTACTCTTGTTTTAAAAATATTACTCTGGCTGCTAACTGGAAACAGACTGTGGTGGGAGGGGAAGTGTGGAAGGAAGAACAGGAGGCTGTTGCTCTTGTCCATATGAAAGCTGATGGTGGCTGCAACCACAGTGATAATGATAGAGATGATGAGACATCATAAATTCTTAATATATTATGAAGAAACACTAACAGGTTGTTGATTGATTTGATGAGAGTGAGAGAAAGAAAGGAATCAAACACGATTCCAATATTTTTGGTGTTAGCAACAAACAAGAGAGAAGCCTGAAGGAAGAGCAGATGTGGGGGACTGGGGGTTAAAAGTTTAGCTTAGCACATGCTATACTGGCGAAACCTATTAGACTTTCAAACAGTGATCAAGTAGGCAGTGCAATACAGGAATCTGGAGTGAAGAGAAGAGTTATGGAGTGGAGCTGGACTCGTATGAATGGATGAAGTCATCAGGGTAGCCAGTATAAATGAAGAAGATGCCCAAAGAGTGAGCTCCGAGGCTTTCCAGAACTACAACAGGAAGGGATGAGGAAAAACCTGCAAAGGAGACAAGAGGGAGCATGCAACAAGGTAAAAAGAAAACAAGGAGTGTGTGGTATCCTGTAAGGCAAGTGAAAATGTGTTTCAAGGTAAGGAAGGGGTCAGCCAAATCCAGCACTGCTGCGGGGTCATGTTAGATGAGGCTGAAAACTGGTTATTGAATGGAACAATGTGGTGTGCTCCGCTGACATTGACGGGAGCAGTTTTGGTGGATTGTTGGGGGCAAATGCCTGACTATATTAGTTCAAGCAAGAATGGAAATGGGGGCTGGGTGTGGTGGCTCAAACCTGCTAATCCCAGCACTTTGTGAGGCCAAGGCAGGCAGATCGTTTGAGCTCAGGTGTTTAAGACTAGCACGGTCAGCATGGCAAAACCTGGCCTCTACCAAAAATACAAAAATTAGTTGGGCTTGATGGTGCATGCCTGTGGTCCCAGCTACTCAGGAAGCTGAGGTGGCAGGATTGCTCATGCCCAGGAGGTAGAGGTTGCAGGCACTCCAGCCTGGGTGACAGATCGGGACCTTGTCTCAAAAACAAACAAACAAAAAAGAACTGAAGTGGGTAATGTTCAGTACTAGAATAGTTTTAAGTCTTTGAAACCAGATTTGCAAGTGGCTCTTTCACTCATAGCCAGTCTTATTTTTTAATAAATATTATGAAACAAACTCTGTTATTGAGTTTGTATTTACAAAACACATTTTAAAAACTCATTATATATGACCAAAAACCAGAAAATAAAATAGATGATTATAAACCATAGCAAAATAAACTAGTCTATATAGATAATGTAATCGATACAAGCGTTCTCAAATTTGGGACTCAGTTTAGAATTACCCTTAAAAAATATGCCTAGCCATGGAAAGAATAGTATTACCCTCCATGGCCAACTTTAAACTTACTCACAAACCTCCAGCAAATTCCTAGAATAGTCTCTACTTTCTAAATTGGCACAGACACAGAATGTTGCAATGAGAGCTTGCAAAAGAAGACAGATTATGATGACAGTTTTATTACTGTTACTTGAACCTGAGTACTCAAATTTAATTGGAAGTTAAGTCAATTGTCGTGGAAACCATCCTAGGAATTAAGTAATTCTATTATAATCTGTATTATCTCCACTATTTCCACTTAAGCTCCAAATAACTAAAGAAATACAACTTGCCTGCTACTTAGGTATAATAATATGTTGCTTTTCAGTGGTGGGATGCTTTTAAAGTACAATTTAACAAGCGTCGAGTTAGAGACCTAGAGTTTAAAAAGATTTGAAATGTTGATGCATCATAGTTATTTTCCTTTTCTGCAAAAGGCAACCTTTTTTTTTTTTTTTTTTTTTTGAGACAGTTTTGCTCTTGTTACCCAAGCTGGAGTGCAATGGCGCGATCTCGGCTCACCGCAACCTCCGCCTCCTGGGTTCAGGCAATTCTCCTGCCTCAGCCTCCTGAGTAGCTGGGATTACAGGCACGCGCCACCATGCCCAGCTAATTTTTTGTATTTTTAGTAGAGACAGGGTTTCACCATGTTGACCAGGATGGTCTCGATCTCTTGACCTCGTAATCCACCCGCCTCGGCCTCCCAAAGTGCTGGGATTACAGGCTTGAGCCACCGTGCCCGGCCAACCTTGTTAATTTAGGAGTGTGCAACATGTTTTTATTGTCTATCTTTCAGTATCTCAAAATTCAACACTCATTCCTTTCATTGTATAAACCAGTTTAAATCAATACTCAAGAGCTCTCTTCTCTATACCTGTGCTCATTTCACTCTCAAACTTTTGGGCTTAAATTGCTTTCATAGGCAATTAAGTTTGGCATACTACCGAAAGTAGACTTGTCTTTTTCAAGTTTCCAGAGTTATCTAGAACAATCCTTATGATCTTATAACCAGCAATTTGTCATTGTCCTCTCAAAAATTAGCCAAAATATGAAACACCTTTAGAAACAAAGTGAAGTGAGATAGTTAGGTCCACCTCTCTGTTCAATCATGTCTGCCCTTGAAGAACTCATAATGTTATTAAGTGAGGAAAAGGGATGATCGGTCCCAACTGGCCTGAGAAATTTTTATAGTTTTTAAATTGGAGAATTCTTACCAAAGAAAAAAATATGTAAAAGAACATCTGTTATTATACAAAAAGAAAAAGAGAAGAAGAGATCTGAAGGAATGTAAAATATACCTGGAAATACAGGAATTCTTAGAGCATAGTCTCCTTCATTATTTGACCAAGATAAGAAAGTCTGAATACAAAGAAATGACGCTGAGGTAGCAAGTTACACATGCCCATCATTCTGACTATCCTGTGGTCACCAAATATAAATAACGTTATTAAAACCAATGAAAATGAACTAATCATTAAGGAATAGCTACCTAGTACCTTCTTGAAAGAGCTCATAGCCTATTTGAGGGAGACAGAATCATAGATATGTAATTATAATGAAACAAATTTAATGTATTAAGAGATGAGTTATATACCAAAGAGAATAAGATAAAACATAAGAAAACTTAAGAAAACTCTGAAAATAGTGTTTTAATTAAGGGGAAAAATACGTAATGAAGGCCTGTGCTTTAAAAAGCCTTGAAGTGTAATGTAGTATTAGATTATTGTGGTGTTTTCTTTTCTTTTCTGAGATAGAGTCTCACTCTGTTGCCCAGGGTGGAGTGCAGTGGCACGATCTCAGCTCACTGCAACCTCTGCCTCCTGGATTCAAGGGATTCTCCTGCCTCAGTCTCCCAAGGAGCTGGGATTACAGGCGCACGCCACCATGCCCAGCTAATTTTTGTATTTTTAGTAGAGAAAGGGTTTCACCATATTGACCAGGCTGATATTCAACTCCTGACTTTGTGATCTGCCCACCTTGGTCTCCCAAAATGCTGGGATTACAGGCATGAGCTACTGCGCCTGGCCTATGGAGGTGTTTTTCAAGTTTGTTTTACAAGTATAATAGCAAAGGTTAACTGAAGCTCATGTTTAAGCACTCACCCTATAATCCTATGATGAAAATTACATATATATATATATATATATATACACACACATATATATATATATAATATATGTATTATATATATCTGCATCATAAAAAATGAAGAGATAAATATGTTGGATTGGATTCCTGTTCTTACTTTTTCTAGAGTATAATTTATTTTACTCTTAGTATGTATAATTTTTTTTCAGGCTGTATGTTTAAAGACTTGGAATTTTATGTAAGCTATACTGAGAAAAGATTTTTTTAAAATAAAAAATTAACAAATTCTTCAGTACACCACGCTTTATTTTAATATTGGCGGGTTTCAATGTGTTTTGCTACAAAGACACATGTATCACTATCAAAAAATATAAACACAGGCTTTAAAATAAGAAAACAACTCATATGATCAATTAGTCACTCAAAATAACCTTGACATTGTGGGAAAATGTCATGTAAGCCTCATAATACTTTCTTTACTGTGTTATCAGATTAACAAGGATCTGCCTCACTTACACGCTTCCTTCTTCACTAAAACTTGGGAACTCTTTAAAGATTTATAAACTCCAAAGAGATTATAAAGATTCTCTTCCTTGCAGGGAGTTGTAGAAAATAATGCATTTTACAATGACAGTATGCTTTATGAAAATAAATGTTATCTTAGATCACTTTACAGACTATGAATATACTCTTTGTTCCTTTATATATTTTACATCAGATGAAATTCCTCTTTCTCAACTCCCATAACTTTGACAGCTGGAGAAAATTCATGGATATCAAAATCAGATAGCCTGTGTCCATCAACTGGTCAAAACTGCCACCTACTGGTCAGTTTTTAAATCTATTTTTCAGTTCATCCAAGCATTACTTTACCAAGGTAAGGTCCCTTTCTTCAAAACAGTAAAGATCATTTACAATAACCAGGCTTAAAGCAAATATTCTTTAAACAAAAATTCTCTAGGGGGAACCAAAAATTACCAATTGCACAAACCTGCCAATAAAATCATCCCTTTTCCCAGCATCTTTGTCCCATGCAGTGATATCAATGATTCCTCCTCTTTCTTCATAAAGGTGAAAATCAAATTGTTCCCTCCACTGAGGATTCAATGTTTTTGGCATAATCTGGAAAACAAGCAAAAAACATCATTATTGTCATATTGCTAGCAGCTTTTAAAAAAAACTTCAACCTGAGATATTAAATCAAACTTTCAGTACTATAGTATCTAGAAGCATGCTGTGTGCTATTTGAACAAAAGATTACAGAAATAATGGAAATGGCTCATTAGAACTCCAGCATCTTTACTGCATAATACCTGAATGGACCTTAATGAATGTGTCCTGAAAATCAAAAGACATTCTTTATCTTAAATAACAGATAAGAAATATAAATTATGGCTTAAAAAAAAAGCACCAAGAGCTGATGAAAGAAAGAGACAGAAGAACGAAGAAAGCAAGAGGAATGCTTATTCTTCCTTAAAGGAACAGAAGGCCATGAAAGGGCCTTTAAACAATGGCTAAGAAGGAAACGGACTGAAAAAATAGCAGAGCAACAAGCTGTCAGAGAGAGAACTAGACAGCTCTGACTAGAAGCTAAGCGTGCTAAACAGTGACAGCACCACGTATATATGTTAGAAGCCAAATCTTTTCGTTTTACTGATCATTATAACTGAAAGTTTCTATTAAACATTTCAGTGGGAAGCTGCTACCAAAATTTTGGATATATTTTCTTATGGTCTGTGTACTTTGGTTGTAATCTAAATTATGGAAATGGTATTTATCTTTCACTGAGAGAAAATTTTTTTTAAATACTAGAACAAAATAAATTTTTTTCTCACAGTGTTGTAAAAGATATAAATTACGTAGAAAAGATAATCTATGAGTGAAATAGCTCACTCAGATACTAGCAATATTTTACATAATCATAGTTAATGCATTAAGATATAACTCATAGTCATCTCATAATAAACGAGGATGAGGATTTCCAGAGTTCTTTTTTTTTTCTTACTTGCCACACACATTGGAATCCTGGCTTAAGTACATGAAAACCAGACAATGAAGTTCTGTCAGAGCAGAAGAAAAAAGCAAGTAGTTCTTGAGTGGTCAGGCTAACTCTTATCTTAGACTTACAGCACTGATGTAGTGTCCTCATGTTATATATGGAGAAGCTGAGACCTAGAGTTTAAGTGACACGCCTAAGGTCAGTATGTTTTAGCATATGGACACTAACTCAAAGTCTTTGACTAAAGCTTTCCCCCAAAACCATATGCCAAAATGTTTTTGAATTAATAAATGAATATATATGAGTATATACATATGTATAAATGTATATATGAGCATATATGTATGTACATATACATATTTGTGGATATACTCTTTGTATTGCATATACAAGAAAGATATCTGAAATATAATTCTGTAACTTCAAGTAGTCAGATAAGTCATCTTGTACAGTAGAATCAATGAACAAAGTAACCTATATTGATAAAAAATGGAATTTTAAAATTCCATTCACCATTGGGTTAAACAACATTCATATTTGTTTCCTTGTTCTTTCTTTTTAGCAGGAAGGCATGCAGTGGCCTTTTCTCTTTTATGGCAGACAGATCTTCAGAATGTAAAGAGTTTGAAAGCAATGAAGTATATTATATGCAAAGGTAATGCAAATGAATCACAATTTTTAAAGTTCATAATCTGAAATTAATCAGCAATAGATCAAGGAAAGAAAGAGCAAAGAGAGACACATGTCCATTGCTGGGTTTCATATTTCATACCTAAAGAGCAGAACTATAAAAATAAGTAATGTTTTAAACCTACTAGAACATGGAAATGGTACTAACTAAGAAACGACAAGATAGAAGTGGTCATAGGTACCTATTTTTGGAATCAGTAGCTACTTTAATATATGTTATTAAGCCCCATGGCAGAAAAAATGACACTGAGTGAATGCTATGATAATTTAAATGTCTTATAATCAGGCTCAGATGAACTCCTATGGTATTTTGGGGTGTGCTCTGTCTTTATTTATCTGGCCTTAAACAGACGATATTTTCAGTTTTCTTTTTTAGGACTGCATTCCCTATATGATTTTCTTGAGGTCAGAAATAATGCCTTCGCTTTCCATGTGGGCACTCCAATCAGCCTGCTAGCAGTACTCACTGCATGCTAATGACAGGCTCTGTGATATATCGAACTACCTTAAGTACTAGTGAAAACTTCCTAGGCTGGAAGAGACCTAAGCAGGCTGTTTATCAAAAATCCATAGAAATTATGACACCAAGGTGAATAAATGGAATGTGATCTTTAATACTAGATGGATATGACCAGTTGTCCTAAGGTGTGTATGAATAACAGCTGTAAAAACTGACCGATAAAGAGGACATAGTTCATTCCAACACAGATAAGATTTGGTTTGGCTCTGTGTCTCCACCCAAACCTCATGTTCTACTGTAATCCCCACATGTTGGACAAGGGGCCTAGTGGGAGGTGATTGAATCATGGGGGCAGACTTCCCCCTTGCTGTTGGCATGACAGTGAATCGTTCTCACAACATCTGGTTGTTTAAAAGTGTGTAGCACTTCCCTTTTCACTCTCTTGCTCTGCCATGGTAAGACAGGCTTGATTCCACTTTACCTTCTGGTATGATTCTAAGTTTCCTGAGGCCTCCCAGCCATGGTTTCTGTACAGCTAGCAGAACTGTGAGCCAGTTAAACCTCTTTTCTTCATTAATTACCCAGTCTCAGGTAGTTCTTTATAGCAGTGTGAGAACAGACCAATACCTAAGACATGTGCCAAAAATGTAGCTATGACTTCTAGACTCTTATTACTTCCATCACTAATATTATTAATATATTATTACTACTAATATATTACTACTAATACAAGATATTTCTTACTATTGTTACTCTTCCTTTTCTTCTGCTATTTTCATTTGCTGAGTGATTATGAGCAAGCCCTTTACGTGCATATGTTCATTTAATCTCAGCAACTTTGCTAGGTAGGCATTATTTTAATTCTCATTTTTACAGATGGGAAAACTAAGATATGGAGAGACAATGTAACTTTTTCTAATATATTTTAAAACTTGCTATTTGCATTGGTACAAGTCAGGTTGAACAAAGTGTCTAAGAGTAATGTACAAAGATTTTTATGGCATGTAAAATAATGCTATTTATAATACTGATGTTAGCCCTAGTTGTAATAATGTTAAAAGGCACATTCTTCAGAGGCTGAGGCAGGAGGATCATGAGATCAGCAGTTCAAGACCATCCTGGCCAACATGGTGAACCCCATCTCTACCAAAAATACAAAAATTAGCTGGGCATGGTGGCACATGCCTGTAGTCCCAGCTATTCAGGAGGCTGAGGTAGGAGAATTGCTTGAACCCAGGAGGCAGAGGTTGCAGGGAGTCAAGATTGTGCCACTGCACTCCAGCCTGGTGACACAATGAGACTCTGTCTAAAAAAAGCCACACTCATTGAGTACTTCATGTGCCAGGCATCAACTGTGTTTTCGGGGTGGTTGTTGTTGTTTTAATCCTTAAAGCTATGCCAAGAGCTAGTTCCAACAATTATTCCTATGTTGTAGATGAGGAAACTACATCGACAAGTAGTTTATGTGAGGTCACCTAGTACATAAATTAAAAAATGTAGTACAATTATAGGTCTTGTTTTCTGACATGATGTTCAAAAAAGTTTGTTAAGCATTTAAAAAATTATCTAGCGGTTTCATCTCCTAAGGCATGGTTATTAACCAACCAATGCCTTCCAAAGATTGACAGGAATACAGCAGAGATATGGTTACCTTGCTCTTGTACTTCTGATGCCCAAGCCGGAACTTCACGTAGGGGTCACTCAACCCATTGGAATCCATGGCCTTGAGGTCTCTCCCTTCAATCAAGGTGATGCTGACTATTCCTCTCCAAAGATGTGATTTTCTGTGTAGGTCTGATAGGCGTAAACTTTGGGTCTGAAACTTTTGGCAAATGAAAATTGATTAGGTTATTGTGATTTAAACCCAAATATCTCATTTTGGCATTACCTTTTCTCCTGTTGTTATGATTCTTCAAAAAATAAAGGATAGGCAACTATAATTTTTAAAAATAAAAAATAATTATAAAGTAATTATTTAATTATAAAATTTTTAATAAATTATGAAATTATCGTCTTATGATAAATTTGTTGTGTAAAAGAGTTGAGTGTTCAAAATATAGTCTAGCTTTTCATTTCTTAAGATTACCAGATACAGATACATCAAGAATATCAGAAAATATTTGCAAGTGTGCCAAATAGGCTTATGTCAAAATATGTATAAAATAAATGTTAGAATTATTAAAGGCCTCATTCATACTGTGGTATTTAATTTTTAAACTATTTGTGGCTTTTGAATATATCTTTATGTTATAGATAGATTTTACAGGTGGTTTTTAATTGTAAGATTAGTTGCAAGTTCTATTCAGATAGTTTAAATACTTTTTTCTTGGCACATTAGGAGATTATTGAGCTTCAGATTTCTAAAGAACAATTTTAGTTACCACAAAAGAGAAAACAAAATCATATGTTGATCTAAGATGTCTTGCTTATACCTAAAACTTTCATCACAAATATTTATAATTATGTTTAATGTTACATATGTGATTTATACTGGCAAGTATGTTTCTGGATTTTACATTTGAGTATCTGAACATTTTCTTTAATGACTTTTATTATTATTATTACTTTTAGAAACAGAGTCTTGCTCTTCACTTCACCCAGGCTGGAGTGCAGGGGTGTGGTCACAGCTCACTGTAACCTCAAACTCCTGGGCTCAAGTGATCCTCCTATCTCAGCCTCCCAAGAAGCTGGGATGACAGGCATGCACCACCGTACCCATCTAATTTTTATTTTTTATTTTCATTTTGTTTGTTTTGTTTTGTTTTTAGAGATCTTGCTGGGTTGACCAGGCTGGAGTGCAATGGTATGATCACAGCTCACTGAAGCTTCGAACTCCTAGCCCCAAGTGATCTGCCTGCCTCAGTCTCCCAAAGTGCTTAGATTACAGACTTGAACCACAACACCTAGCTTAGACTATTATTAAAGTTTAAAAGTCTACTAAAAATGGCTGTATAATCTCTTTAAACTAAAAAAGGACATAAAACAAGCCATAGAAAGTAACTAAATGTGAAAACATTTTCAATCTGGATTTGGCATCAAGCAGTACTATAAAAATGACTTCTTTCATATTATCAAACGTGTTTTTCCTACATATAGTCATTTCATGAAGAAATTCAACATTCCTCTCAATCTCAAAGCACTGTTAAATTATGGATTAGCACTACTTTCTAACTAATCCCTTCTACATTAATGTTATAAAGCTACAGCTTATTTTGTATAACTTTCCCTCCCACTCTTTCTATACCATAGCGATGCCCTAGGTGTTTTTATCATCATATTCAAAAGTCATGCATTTTGAGTGTGTCTATTAGGGAAATGAAAACTACACTCTTCAAAAGATAACACTTCTAATATTTGGACATTTCAGTGAAAATCTTTCAAAATCACATGTATATATTCCTGCCTTGTTGAACACAGCACATTTTGAATCTTGCTTGGTGAATCTGCCCTATTAATATCAATGCAGGACTTTGCTGACACACTCTTCATCCCTGTGAACTTCAAGTGCAGCATTCAAATGAGTTCTGAGTGTAATGGAGAACTCATGGGGCACCTGCAAGTTCTGCAGAACTCTATGCCCATTTTGGCTAGAGCCCCTCCACTCCCGTCTGTTCAGTATATTGGATTTCCACATTGGATTTTGCTTGAACAGAGGACTTCTCAGATGAAAGTAATTGCTTAGAATTTGTTGCACCCAGTTATGGCCAAGGTCTTTGTTTCAGTTCTAAGATTTCATGCAATTTATTATTATATAATCCATCTGTAGATTTTGGTGACTGTTTGGTTTAACCACTTCTGCTGCTGTTGAAACTGCCTCTAACAGCAGACTCTAGAGAACTGGGTTTTAAACTTTGGATTGGAAACTTTTGTTAGGGAATATGAGTAGCAAAGAAGGAAACAAAGAAAACAAATGTTGTAGCAAGTAAGAAGAAATAATTGTTTTAGCAAAGACCAAGGAGGTAAGAGCTGCCAAGTTACATAGAGCTTTAGAATTTAAAAATATGCAGATCTATATTATAACATTTGGTTCCCAAAAAAACCCCATGAAGTCAGAGGGCAAGGGTTCTTAGTCCAGTTTTACTGATGGAATGCAGAGGGATTGTGCACATAAATGGTAGATGTGGAACTAAAACCCAAATATTTCCAATCTTTATTCCTGAGCTTCTCCAATACAAGTGTTTAGGGAAGAGATTTCTTGTAGGTTCAAAGGTAATCATGATTTAAACAAAATGTTTCCAAAGGGTACTCTCCAGTTAAGTGGCAATACATGGTTAATTCATGAAACCACCTTTTACTTTTATATTATATAACCACATGTATTTATATTTATAATATTTCAGCTTGTTGAAGAAAATACTTAATGCCATTTTCTATATGGTCTCTAGAAGCAGTAAAATAGTAGTTGGGTACAAGCTAGGTTGCACAGCATCTTCAGTGAGCAAGGTGAAGTTAGTTTCTCTAACAGTGCCATGTCTAAAACCCTTCCTTGCTTGCTTCTCCTTTCATTTTCTTTTTCACATGAGAACATGAACTTGACTTACAGAGTGAGGAGGAGAAAAGCCATTTTCACTCTGTAAGTCAAGTTCATATTCTCACATAAGGCTCACAGGAGGAGAAAAGATCCCATTTTCCATGGGGTTCTTTATGCTTTCACAGAAATAAAATGAACATAATAGAGAGTGCCTACTTCCATTAGTTGCTGTAAAATGCTTTTCTATAACCCAGAAGAACATTTCCAAAACAAGTGTGTGAAATGCTTGCTTGGTGGCTCTGTCCTACTAATATCAGTGCAGGACTTTGCCTATACACTTTTCATACCTGTGAGCTTCTGTGAAATGCTTTTCTGTAACCCAGAAGAACATTTCCAAAACAATGTGGGGAGCTAAGTGAGAGGAAGAAGGGGAGCATTTCTTCACAAAAATAGGGCTAATGGATGTAGCAATTACGGTGGGCTGAGCAAAAGGCTAAGAAGAAATTAAAAAAAGGTTTCAAAGATATTCTAATCAGATATTTTTAAATGATGTTTTCTTCTTCAATAATTTTTGTTCAAAATGGCACTTCTCTACAAAGAAACTCCATAATTCAACTGTAGATTTTATTGAGCAACTGCATAGTCATGAAACTGTTAAATATTTAGCCAAAGCGTGAAGAAGCGAGACTTGAAATAACATTACAGGTAAAGGTAGAAGATATAAACATAGGCTACCAATAGCAGAAAAGATAAGCATGTAACATAAATATTCACTCACGTCTTCCTAGCAATTTCTGGCTATATGACTTGGGCAAGTTTCTCCTTCTCTGGGACTCAGTTTTCTTCTCTTTGATTTTTTGAGACTACTCCAGAGCCCCAAGACTACTAACACCCTTCTGTGTGTACTTATGGGTGGAGGGAGGTTGTGTGTTCAGGGCTTACAGAGAAAAAAGTATACTCCACAAACAATGAAGGTTTAGCTTGCCTAAGACAGTCATTTATTACTTTTACTTATTTAAAGATCAAAGTTCTGGGTAGCTCACTGAAGGGGTGGGGATGGGCAGAATACCTCAGCAAGAAGAAACTTCGCAAACCCTGAAATTCGGATGCTCTCCAAGGTACCTTCTGAATCACTTGCTCCTCTGTTTAAGAAGTTTCCTTCCTCTGTATAGCAAATCTCTCAAACATGTGGTCCACAGACCAGTGGCATCAATGTCACCTGGGAACTTGTTAGAAACTCAAATCCTCTGACCCCGTCTAGACTAACAGCACCAGAAACTCTGGGAGTGGAGTTGGGCACGCTGGTTTAACCAGTTCACCAGGTGATTCTGATACACACTCAAGTGTAAGAATCCTTGCTTTGAAAATTATATGGAGCATGTGCACTGGCTACTCTATGTTCTACTAACTATAGTTAATACAATTGTAAACATTACCAAGGAATTATTTATGCTATTTAAAGTCCTTTCATCCTGCTGCTAAATTTACTGATTAGGAAAGCATATTCGTCTTGATATTTGGAGAATTTAAAAAGAGAAACAGGACTCTACTGAACAATTATGAAAAGTTGTGCTTCTCTTCCTTTATTAACTTTTTCTCATACATATATCTTAATAACACATATTTATTGAAGTATTGATAATCATCTGCCAAAATCACTTATTGAGCACCTAAAGAGCAAGGAATATTAAACGAATCCAAGATATCACTCAATAAAATTTGCATAATGCAGCTGGATTAGTTTTCTAAGGTAATGCTCTCAACTGGGTCCTTGTTGAATTAAAACTCTATTTACAAGGTGGGGACAAGAAAAAAAGCAGGAAGAATAAAAAGAAAAAAACAACCTTGTTCTTCAAAGCAAAGAACAAAAACAAAGCCCTTAAAAGGAAGGAATGATCTTTGAACATGTAAGGTAGTTGTTCTGAAATTCTAGCAGTCAATTTGCTGAAATGCGTGATTCTCTGAGATGTGATTCAGTTCTTATGGAGTAGAACTGTGTCTGTATTTCAACATATGCCCCATGTGATTCTCATACATCCAAATTCACTCTCATAAGAAATATTCATCCAAGTTCATAATTAATAAAGAATATCAAGACACCAGATAACAAAAAAGATTTCAAAGTCTGAAGCAATTAGTCCATAACACATACCTTTAGTAAGATTTTAGAACTAATAAGCTGACAATTTAAAGAAAGTGTTAGTTATATTATTCGTTGAAAAAGAATTTAAGATTACAATTCCTTTTCATATGTACAAAATCGATTCGTATAGGGAATGGGTTTTCACTACAGTAAGTTGGCCCTCAGATCTCACAGCTCATGCAAGCTCAGAAGAAAATAAATCAACTGAATGTTTGAACTTACTTGTGCATTTTGGCAATAAGAACTCTGAAGCTCTGCTCTGCAGAAGCCCAGGACAGGAAGAACTGGCCTGCTGCACGTCTGGATGGAAATGAATGATCAGAGCTGTACAGGAAAACTTTGTACCATTCTCAACCCCTCATTTTGATCAGCAGTTTAGTCTTCAGAAAACATTATTTGAGAAAATTTGTATTTGCTTCCAAGTCACTATCAGAAAGTGTCTTATGGTACAATGAAGATAAATGCCAATGCAACTCTAAGGTTTTCAGCCACGATTTTCTTTAATAGAATGCTGCTGCAGTGGTCAAGGCAATGAAGCCCAGAGATTATATGATGATAGAGCCTAATTAAGTGGTTTCAGGTTTCTGTTAATAGGTGTATCCAAGAAAATAACTAGAGCAAGAGAAACAATGAAAAGAATAATTGTTTCCAACTCTGAAATGTTAAAATAGTGATAAGCTTGCAGAAAAATAAATGTGATTATCAATAGGCAATAACTAAGATCACATTAACCTTGCAGCCCACATGTAAATCTTTTTAATGATTAAAGAACTATCTCTAACAGGGAAATGTTGTCCCACGTGACACCTCCCTGTTTTGCCTTTGCTATGAAAAAGTAACCCAAAGATCCCTTCACTACCAAGACCAAGAGCAGCCAGAGATGGATTAGGAAAGATATAACTTAATAGGAACTCTTGGAGAGAAATTATCATGGTAGAACTGAAGGTTTGTATTACAGGTCTTCTGGAGCAGCTAACGAAAGTTTCTTAACAATAACATTATGATGAGATTAGAGTCACCAGCCTTAATAACATTAACAGAGAGGACTGGATTAGGGCAGTCAGAAAGGTGGGCTAATCACACAGAAAGAAAGGAACATTCGTTGTGCAGCTATTACATGCTGCAGTTTTCACACTCCTGGTTTTTCATGACAGGCATCTTATTTTAAGGTAAATAAACTGAGGCATAGAGAAGGTAAGTACCCCACTGAAAGCCAAATGACTAGAGATTGGCAAGGCTGAGATTTGAAGCTAGAGTTGCTGAGACCTAATTCATGATTTCCAACCCCGACCCACCTATATTTCCATTTTTTTTTTGACAGAGACTAAGAAATTCATGGTACAATAAAAGAAATTAATTGGTACAAGAGTTTTCAAAATACTTTGCTTGTCACTTAGGTGAAACGTATCCTTGGTTATAGATGATTGAGAAAGGCTAATCAAGGGATTAGAGGAAGTAAAAGTAGGCAAGTGGTAATAACCCTAGCATATGTTATTCACTTTATAGAAAATTATAGTTTTATGTCTACTAGTAAGGTGGTGAAGTCATAGAATCTAGCATATAAATTGGGAGCATTTCTATTTCCAGTGTAAAAAGTTTACTAATTCATTTTCTTGAAAAGTTGGATCATTAATAATGAGATATTTTATTTTTCTAGATTTTGATTTACAAATAGATCAAAATAAAAAAAAATCTATTTAGACTTAATATGAGACTAAGGCAACACAGTTACACCAATCTCCTTTCCTGATAGGTACAAATAATCCTCAGCTTTTGTTATCCTGGATTTTATTACCTGTGTACAAGCTAATCCTTCCAAATGAGACCCAGACACTCAAACAGGGAGTGAAAGACATCGCTTATGTGTTTACAATAAACCATGTGTGGAGTCAGCTCTTTCTTCTATTTTCAGCACAGGGGTGCATGAGCTTTTATTTAATCAAATGATCCCCAAGACACTACAAAGAAGAGATAATGACAGCCAAGAATGACTGTTTTGTGCTGCCAAGATGAGTGCAGAGCAATTAGCTCAATCCCAGGCACAGGCATGTCCTATCTTTTCCTTTCCCTGCTGAATTTATTCCAGTGAATTGCACTTGGATGATGAAGTCCAACAAGTGCATTTGTTCTGCCATCCATCCGTCTCTCAAGGTAGGATTGCTTTTACAGAAAACCCTACCGGTGCTTTGTCCAGCCCAGTTTGAAGTGTCTCATCTTATAATAAAGCTTTGATCCCTTTTTTCTTAGAAGATGATTTACTGGCACCATAATCCTTAGCAAGATTCTCCTGGTTTTTATCCTTAAACTTTCTTTTCCATTGCTTCTTGATACAATTTATGGTGTCAGGAAGTTCTTTATGTTTGCTTAAAATATTTTAAGTATCCTCTCTAACTTTAATCGTGGCCAAACAAAAGTTTTAAAGCTTTTACAATTTTTTTTGAAATACATATGAGGAGAAAATCATCATATATATTGTAATCTTTTTGGCTTGCTTAAATAATCTACAAATTTCTAGCAATAATATGGGAAAGAAATAATTGTCTTGGGCCTGCCTTACAGAGACCTGTTTTTTTTTGAGACTTTTTATTAAAAGTTACGCATATTTTTGAGTATAAACAATATCATATTTGAAAATGGAAATAACTTCCGAACTCACCTTGGGTGGATGTTATCTATGGTTGAGTTGTTCAGTATATAAGTGCTTGACAGGATCCCACTCTTGTTTTAAAAAGTCAGTAACTCTTCTCCTAAGCCTTCAGTCTGGCTTCAGCCACACTTCTGCTTGACCTGACAGGAAGGCGGTACTCTGACATAACTTCTAAATTGCTTTGTGTTTTTCTAAGTACTCTTCTTTGCCCATTATGACCTTTTTCTTGATTTTTATATGAAGTATCTTGGCATTTTCCAGCCTTTTCCACTTAAAAAATATTTAAATTCCTCTTTGATTCACTACAATCTTCTTGCAAGATGGTTTGTTCAATTAACTCTTTCATCAGAATCTGCAAGTCCACTCAATGGAGATAACTAAAAAGAAACTTAAACATGCTAAATATTTGGAAACACTGCACTAAGTTACAACCCTTTAGTGGGAAGTTAGTCCTTAATACAATTTTTACTTCATCTGATTTCACACAATTTTTATTGTGTTAATGAGAAACATGGTAATTGTCATATCCACTGATTAATATTTTTTGTCCTAAGATAGTGTTTTGATGAATAAAAAATGTTATGCTTTTGGAAAATTAGAATATCCCTGCGCACAGTCTTTTCTTTCCATTATTTTGCTCTCGGGAAAATTAAGATACAGCAAGTAGCACTGATGTTCCGGCTGAGCAAGTTTTTACTAGGATGTAGTTTCGCTCAGTGTAAATCAGTTGCTATCTCTTAGACACATGTATTGATTTTTATAAATCCTGATAGGAATTCATTTTAAATCACATCCTGCTTAACCCACAAAGCACATGTGTACTCTTCATGCAAGATTTTATCTGAGCTATTTAGATATTTTGCATATCTGAAAATGTCCCTGGGTAACCTCCTTTCATATACATCTCCTCTAAAAGTTCATCAGAATAACAATATTGCTTAGGTAAAGAGCAATATTGGTCAGTTAGCTATCAGAGTGACCTTTGAATGTGACTCTGCAGATAATACTCAACTAAAGTAGACTTGGTCACTAATTTTCTGATTTTGTAAATGGCACATCGGATACAGCAATCTCATGGCTCTTAAACATATCCATCCATTGGTGGCTAACACAGATGCTGAAGAAAAGGGTCAAATAATGCAAGAAGAATTTGAAAGGGTGTCAATTAAAAATAACAGACTAGGCTGGGCATGGTGGCTCACACCTGTAATCCCAGAACTTTGGGAGACCGAGGCAGGCAGATCACGAGGCCAAGAGATGGAGACCATCCTGGCCAACATGGTGAACCCCATCTCTACTAAAAATACAAAAATTAGCTGGGTGTGGTGGCACGTGTCTACTTGAGAGGCTGAGGCAGGAGAATCACTTGAACCTGGGAGGTGGACATTGCAGTGAGCTGAGATCACGCCACTGTACTGCAGCCTGGGCAACAACAGAGCAAGACACTGTTTCAAAAAATATAATAAAATAACAGGCTAAGGAGCAGCTTTATTTATACGGGGTCTCTCTATTCATCATAAACTCAAAAAGAAACTCTACTGCTTTAGTTCTTCAAAACGTTTATTTGTATGACATTCAGAGAGAGAGAAATATTGTTTCTTGTCATGCCATCTGGGTACCTCAAAACAATAACATTAATTTGATGGGCCTTATTTTCCTCACTGGTAGAACAGATGACCCCTAAAGGTTTTGCCTTGATGACTCAGTTAATTTGTCAATTGTTCATTATCATATGCCCAGAGAAGACATTACCACTGAGCCTTGGATACAAGAAAGCTTATTTATTTTTAAACTTGCACATTTGCTATTCTAAGGTCAAACAGTTGAAGAGTTTGAGAAAGATTACTAAAGAATATTTGAGGATGAACACAATCAAATGGAAAGTACTGGTAAGTGGAAAACTTGGAAGTAGCAAAGAAAATCTTGAGAGAGCCACTTGAAAGGCAAACCCTTGAAAAAGTATGAATTACAAAGTTGGTCCTGGTGACAAATCTTCATTCACAATGACCAGTGTGCACAATTGCTGCACATAGAACAAGCTCAACCAGAACACCCCCAATTCTACTCTAGAAGAAATGTGCCATGTAAAAAAAAACCATATGTATGTGCATATTTTTTGAGACAGAGTTTTGCTTTTATTGCCCAGGCTGCAGTGTAATGGCACAATCTTGGCTCACTGCAACCTCTTTCTCCTGGGTTCAAGTGATTCTCCTGCCTCAACCTCTGAAGTAGCTGAAATTACAGGCATGCGCCACCATACCTGGCTAATTTTTTGTATTTAGTAGAGACGGATTTTCACTGTGTTGGTCGGCCTAGTCTCAAACTCCTGACCTCAGGTGATCTACCCACCTTGGCCTCCCAAAGTGTTAGGATTACAGGTGTGAGCCACAGCGTCCAGCCAGTGAAACAATTTTTGGATAAAATTATTATCAATTTAAAGTCATGGAATAATTTAAAAGCAGTCATCCTGTGTATTCCTGGATAATGCATGAATATATAAGAGAAATTATTATTTCAGCAAAGTACAGAGTAACTTCAGTGAAGGCAGCCATGTAGCAGAAATGAAGAGGGTATGATTACTAAATAAGGGTATGCAAAAAAAAAAGTGTGTGTGTGTGTGTGTACAAGCTGTTAAGGATGAATAAATGTGGCTTATACTTGCTCACTGGTCAACACATGACTTAATCTGGTACCTGCCAGTCTACTTGAGAGAAACTATAACAAATATTAAAATTTTAAAGAGAAAAAGGAAGTTTTCTATCACGAGCAGTTTGAGAGCCAAGAAAGGAAAATCCCCAAGTCCTAAGAGTGTAGCATTTTCATTGCAATATCTATTGTTACATTAAGCATATACTAAGTGTGAATTTTCAAAGAAAGAGGAACATTCTTAAAGGTAAAGCAGTAAGTGTATTAGTAATAAGTCGTGCTATGCATAATGCAGAATTAGAGCAGAGAAAAAAATGGTCATTACGAGGTCATTATGCTTTAGTCATAAAAGAGTAAGTTAAATTGCAATGACATTTAAAACAAATTATCTATGAATCATCATTTTGTCTTTATTTAAATCTAAAGAGTTGCTGGTTTCTAAATTACAGGATTTATTTTCAAAGAAAGAGCACTGATTAGTATATTTCTAGGGTAGATTTCTAGTATAGATCACTGTAACAGAAGTAAATAGTTTTCTCAAACAGAAATAGAGCAGAAAATTCTAATCTCATTTTACAAGAGAGGATGAAAGAGCCTTAATGGACCTTCTAGATGGCATTATATTCCTGGAGAGTCCCTGGGACTCTAGCGTCTCAGAATTTGGAATATACTTGATTTCATAAAATGACTTCAAAGAAATATGTTCAAGTTAAAGTCTTAATTTTTACAAGTGTAGAAGTAAAAGTGTTAGTTACTAGATGACTCAGAAGATAATAAAGAAGGCAAATGAATATGTCTATCTGCAAGCCTATCTTAAAAAGTAAAACTCTAAATTGCCATTTAACTTTCAAAATTGCTATCGAAAAACCAAAAATCAAGAACATTAACAAAAAGGATTTAGACGTTACCCTCCAAAAGAGAGACTTCACAGAGAAATAAGATCCAACCACTTCATTTTCTGAAAGTTCCTAAAAACAAACAAATATTTAGCTACATTTTGAGATGTTTTTGAGAATACTTAATTAGTATTCTAAATCAAAACAAATAAACTCAAAGCAAATAAAAAAATGAAAATTATATATCCTAAAGATTCTTGGGATATTTAGAAACTGTAAGATTTCTTCCCTTGAATAAATTAAAATTATTGTGGTAGTAAAGTTTAGAGAGGATTATTTCTGTGATTTTTTAAGAGTCCACTTACCTTTTTATTCTTATTAATATATCTTGGAGTCTGATGGTATATTATAGAAAGTAGACTGTTTAAGCATATTTTAAGATTTTGAAATAAGCAGATATTTGTTCCTTTTAACAAAACAATTGTGTTAACCATAGAACTTCAGAGGATTTTTAATGAGTGACTGCAGAAATCTTTATAAGCATGCACCTAACCAAATTTGGTTTAAACTTTTACAAGAATTCCAAATTTTATAATTAACAAATATAATATAATATAATAAGCAACATAGTTAATGGAAGTTGCCTGACAATTTTAAAAAGAAATGAATACAGAGAGAGCTGGCTATTCAGGTAAAAGCGATGTGATGAACTCAAGTAGGATAGTTTATTACTTAATCCCAGACCTTTATGAAGGAAACCAATTCAACTTTGGGAAATAAAAAATAGCTACTAATTTTTAAATAAAACATCTAAATTACTCCCTTAAATGTTGAAGCTTTGCATTCTGTGTCTAGGTGTCAGTTATGATAAAGTTTTGGGAAACTGATGACAGTCTTGGGAAAGTATCAATAGTTGACACTGTGATAAAGAGGAAGCACCTTTGCAACTTCCTAGGTTATTCTGTGATTTTGTGTTAGCAATTAAGATTTTGAGGGTGAGATGGGAATTTTGATGATCGAGATTTAGGACTTAGGTTTCTCCTTTAAAATTTGAGAAACAAAAATATTAGCCACATTTAGATCCATTGGAGTCCTCAGGCTGTGCTTTTCTTTCTTTCTTTTTTTTTTTTGAGACGGAGTTTCGCTCTTGTTACCCAGGCTGGAGTGCAATGGCGCAATCTCCGCTCACCGCAACCTCCGCCTCCTGGGCTCAGGCAATTCTCCTGCCTCAGCCTCCCGAGTAGCTGGGATTACAGGCACGCGCCACCATGCCCAGCTAATTTTTTGTATTTTTAGTAGAGACGGGGTTTCACCATGTTGACCTGGATGGTCTCAATCTCTTGACCTTGTGATCCACCCGCCTCGGCCTCCCAAAGTGCTGGGATTACAGGCGTGAGCCACCGCGCCCGGCCCCAGGCTGTGCTTTTCATGCCATGTTTAATTACTTCTATTATTCATCAGCTAAAATTTATATTTCATTTTACAACCCACATTCTCATGTAAATTTAGGCCTTTATTTCAGAGGAAACAATTTAATTTCTTGTGGACCCTTGTGCCATTTACTGTTCTGCACGAGTATAAAATTTACAACAGACCAGCCAAAGCCATCCTTTCACCAGAGTCTAATGATAATAACAATAACAACAGCAACAACCACAATAAGATACCTGGCATTACATAATGAGTCCTAAACAGAAGTCGTGATTTTATTACAGAGAACAAGAAAAAGTAGCTAAACTACTCATGAATTCCAGAGAAAGCTTATCTTAAAGTACAGTTGTAGACATTTAGTTACACTTCAGTCTTTATCAAGACAACAGACTAAGTGAGGCAAAGTGACATTTTAAAACTGCTAAAAGTATAAAATAACTAGCAAAAGGAAACAGAACAAAAAACAGAAATATCAATTGATAATGAAAAATTGTTGAAGTTATTCTGAATGATAAATTGTTAAACTGTTTCTACCAAGATTTCTAATTTATGAAAGTGGTAAGGATGCATTGGGAATATCTTATTTATTTCTATTTTTACCTCTAAAAATCTAATACACACTAAGAAAATTTCCCTTTAAAGAAAAAATATCTACTTATGAATCTAAATATTAACCAGATTTTAGACTACAAAATATAGAAGATAAATGTTTTTCACAGGGAAATAAAACTAAAGGACAGTTTATTTTTTTCTAACAAATGCATATAATGTGATTTTTTTCAGCCTTCTATACAAAATAAATCATAGAAATCTTTAAAGACTTTTTCAATAGATGGAATAAAGATTAGTCAACAAGTTTTTATTAAAAGTGATATTTAAAAATTCATCTTAATGTGTACAGGGCTTTAAACATAACACATACAATTATCTGGCAATCCTTCAAAACTCAAAACCTTCACAATCAATTTGAAACGATGAAGCCTGAGATTCAAATGTAAGAGCCACGTCAGCTAGAATTCCTGATTACAAAAGCATGCTTTCATAGGAACCCATTTTCTTTTTATCAATACGATTTGGCCATTTAAGAGATTAAAAAATAAATAAATACACAAATAAATCATTTACATAAATTTTCCTGGTCAGACTGCAATCACTGCTCATCAAAGCTATGGCTCTTGGATCCTTCCATCCTGTCAATAAAGATGCCTCATGAAATTGACTAAGGTTATCAACTGTTAACAGAGCTTTGGAGCCAGGATCCTGACAAAATTGTACTTTGTATAATGTATACACTTTGTATACATTTAGGGTCCCTTAAAATCAACAAATCTCCTCCCAGTTCCACTCAATTTAATATCTGTCTGTCTATCCATCCATCCATTCATTCATCCTTCCATCTATCTATCTTGTTAAATGAAAAGACCATGTAATCTGCACAGCAGCCCTTAGTTCTGTTATCCTGGAATCCAGTTATATTAGTTCTTCCCTTTTAATTGGTCCAGGAAGAATCTTAAGAAATTGGTCGACTCACTTGATAACACATGCCACCAAAGTGAAGGCCACCCAGCGACCACACAATAAACATCCTAGACCTGAAACACACGCACTGTGGAATCCATCCTCTCCTTGACATTACACACTGTCCTTCCACTTTGTGCCAACTCATCCGGATCTGATCCAGAAGAACCCACAACATTTAGAAAAGTCAACAAGAGCAGTCAAATAAAGGTAATGCCATTGTCACAGCAAATCTCTGTAGCTATGAATATATTACATAAAAAGTATATTTTATGCCTTTGGGGAAATATTGTCAAAACAGCAAGAAAAAACCATCTAAACATAAAATTTAGTTATGGTTTCATGTATTTTGTGGGGGTAATCAAATATTCACTGACATAATATCTCTGTTTTAAATAAACTTGCTACAAATTTCAGGACTTTGGTTAGGTGGGGTCAAAATATGCTCTTTGATAACAGAAATACTCACTACTAGTTACCATTTGTTGATTGTTGCATTTTGGAATCTCAGAAATCTTGATTATGAGGTTGATTTTATAGCATTTCCAAATAATATAGATTTGGGAGTACAAACAATGGCAAGTTAAAAATCTTTTAAAATAATTTTATGTTTCCTTCAAAAACATCAAGCATATCGTTTTTTTCAAAGACATGCATAAAAATTAGAAACATGGCATCCAAGAAAAGCCATATTGGTCACTCATATGAGTTAAGAAAGTCTATGACCAATAGTTTTCATTTTTGCAGCTTTAAAAAAATTGCCTCTTTATTACCAGGATATAAAGTTTTGAAGAAAGAACCTGATAGTTGTTAAATGACTTTTTTTCATCATGTCTAACTGATTGTGTGAGATACTTAAAGATGTGTTAATCTGTTTCTCCACTGTTACTTAAATTATAGCACTTAGAGTTTTTGCTGATGCATTTTTAATGTATCATCCAAGGTGTCAGGTTTAACTACTTCGCCACGCAGACTTAGAGTTGAAAGTGTTCTCTAGTTTAAATTAATGATCTCCTTGCCAAAAGTCTTATTAAAAATTGCTTCATTCAACCAATGAATAAAGTGTTTTATAGTTCATTAAAATTATGCTAAGTGGTTGTAATAAAATCTTTATAAAAAGATGTATTATTAAAAAAAGATATAAGCTGTCAAGTAACAGAAGATATGATAATCAGACACCATCACAGTAGTCTGTGTATTATTCAAAGGATAAACTTTTCTTAAAGAAAAACAACTCTAAACTGTTATTGTTGAGGATATGAATTGCAATGTGTATGTTTTTATATCATCATCATATTTCTCATATAATTAAAACAATTTGTTGAAAGCACATAAGCTTATTATGTCACCTTTAACCATTGGTAAATTCATTATTCTAGGTTCACACACACACACACACACACACACACACTGTAGTGTAAAATCATAACTGCATATTGTTTGATAGAGCCAATTGTTTTATTATTTTTTTAATTTTTGGTTTGGACCCACAAAATTTATTCACAAAATACATATAAATCATCTCTTTTGAGTTCATGAAACTTTCTTGATGAATAATTTAAACTTAGAATAAATTATCAGTGATAAGCTTCTTCTAAAGAATAAAATATTGCAATAATCCAAAGCACACCATTTCTCTGCTAAAACACATTTTGTCACATAAGTGTATCTCTTTGACCTGGATAATTCTGTTGCCCAAGTTTAGGGAGACAACAGTCCCTTTCTTCTTAAAATAACATAATTCTGTAACAGCTGAGTGTTGGGCAGAATTCAAAATGAGCATAATAGATAGTGTGCTTGTGGAAAACCAGAATGAGCGTTTTAAAGGATGGTTCTGTCCCTGGAAGAGGCAATATTACAGAATTTATAGCTATATACTTATTTACATGCCATTCAAATATAATGCATATTTTATACATTCTTGTCTTTCAGAGGTAAGTTTAGATGTATTTTTCCCTATGAGTTATTAAGTGGTAATACATTTACCCCCTCACCACCAAATAATAAGTTAGTCCTGAACAGCAATTAGGATCTCCTGGTCCTCAAGCCGGTGATCTTTCTTCTGATTTCAATAGTAAATAGAACCCCACATTATGTGAGTACCACAAGTAATAAGATTTCCATTAAAAGAGCCTATGATTGGCTGAAGTATGACTGCAAAAATAGGTAAAGAAGTCTCGTCACAGAGTGTCAAGATGATGAAAATGACGAGTAGATGCTTAAGGAACGGGAAGTTCCATGAGCTGATTCACATTGTATAGAGGGGAGACAGGCGTATTTAAAAGAACAAAAACTATGTCAATTTAGTCTTTCTTCCTCTGTAGTTACATCACTTCTGAAAGAAACCAAGAAAGAAAAACTCCATATTGGAGAGAATATCCAACAACACCGGCTATCTTTAAGTCTTTGCTATAAAATTTATACTTCTTAGATTATATATTCACCATTGACGCTCAAAGACAGGCTGCATGCCAAAGCCCTGCCACAAAGATGCGGGAGACCTCATTCTGTAAATCAAGATTCCAGAGAAGAAAATCTGTGTTTTTATGAAAAATTTACCTTTGAATTTGAACATAGTTATATCATATATGAAATTCCCATATTTAAATGTAATGCAAATAAAATTACACCCTATTTCCAAAAATAAAAAATGAAAAATCTGTACTCAGACAAGAATTTTTAAGAAGATTGAAGTATTTAGAAAAGGTGCATTTCCATAAAACAGTAACATAGTAAAACCTATAAAACTACACAGTATAGTCCCTTACCCCTTAGTTTCCCAAGAAGCACAATTTACTGGACGAAAAGGTTCAAGGAGCAGTTTTAACGTAGCAGAGTGTGTGAAGGAAGGTGGACTAGCTAGTAATTGAAATGTCAAACTTTCCCCCAATTTTGGATTTAACATTATGCTCTTGTAACACTAATATGGATGAATATGGCAAATATTTTAGGGTACAGTAAAAAATCTGAATGAATTAGCAGGTGTTCAGCATGTTCTCACAGAAAAAAGTCAAATGAGTGAACTGATTTTACTTCACTTAGTATTCAATATCCCCATTAAATTTTTCAAAGTTGAAAATCCCTTAGGCTAAAACCCAAAAGCTTATGTTAACACTTGTACTAAATATAATCTGCCAAGTACTCAAACGAATGCTGTTAGACATAGGAATTCTATATCTTCAGTTGGAAGCTTGAAAAATGTATCCGTTTGAATACATAAATGGATTGCTAATAATAAATATAAACTCCAAGAATTATAGATATTAAAAACAGTACAGGGTAGATATTTCTCATTTTAGATTTTTTTGTATATGGAACAAAAATATGTGGATATATTTTTACTTAATTTATTCTTAAAGTTATATTTACATTTAAATATAAATTTAATTTAGTTTTTAAAGAAGAATTATTATTTTTTTGGAGACAGAGTCTCACTCTGTTACCCAGACTGGAGTGAAGTGGCATCATCTCTGCTCACTGCAACCTCCGCCTCCTGGGTTTAAGCGATTCTCTAGCCTCAGCCTCCCAAACAGCTGGGATTACAGGCATATGCTACCACGCCCAGCTACTTTTTGTATTTTTAGTAGAGTTGGGGTTTCACCATGTTGCCAGGCTGGTCTCAAACTTCTGACCTCAAGTAATCTGCCCACCTCAGCCTCCCAAGTGCTGGAATTAAAGGCGTGAGCCACCATGGCAGGCAGAATCTTCATTTCAATTCTTTCTTTTATACAATAAAGTGGATTATTCCCACTAATTAATACTAAATATTATATAATATCCTGTTCTAGCATTACATGTTAAATACATCTGAAAGAGAGAATATTGCCACATATTGATGGATTGTCATATTCTGTATATAAATATATCAAATTATATAAATTTAAAAAAAACATACACAATATAACTTTAAAGTATAATTACAAAGGAAAAAGAGTAGTACAAATATAAACAGTGCAAATATTTCTTAAAAACCTCTTGAAACTTTATTTTGATTAGTAAAAATCACAGAGAACATTAAGTCAGAAATATTCAGCAACCTTTCTTATTAAGTGTTTTTCATTTTATTAAAAATAAAGGTGACTTTTAATGGGAACCCTGACTTTTTTGTGAGCCAACTTATTCTTTGGTCATTAATGCCACAAGAATTAGGGAGAAAATGTACACCAAGAAACACTTGTTCAAACAGAGTAAGTCATTACCATACATATAAAAACATTTGGATATATATTTTAAATTCACAATAATAAAAAAGACAAAATTAAAGAAAAGTTTAAGTAAAAGCATGATTCAATCAGAATGGAAGGAAAAAGACTGTCATGTTCCAGGGTCTAAAAAAATTAGTCACTATTAAAAAGAAATACTGACTCTAAGTAGAAATTTGAGCAGACAAAATTTTTACAAGTAAAATCTTTTGATTTATTTCAAGTTATATTCTTACAAAAGTTGTTTCATCTTGATATCTTTCTGTGTCAAACAGTGGCAGCACCACTGAACAAATTAAAATATTAGTTTATATTTTGCATATCTCACAAGTTGCAAAAGAGCCAGGGCTTAGTAAGTTACAGGAACCATAAACTCCTCTCACTTTATTTCTTAAAGTGAGAAGAGACAATGAGAAAAAAATTATTCTTATTTTATACTCCAAAGATGTAATGATACAGGAATTTCTCAGTTTAGAAAGCCACATACCAATTTTCTGCGACCCCCCCCCCACCAAAAAAATAAAATAACTTGTGGAAATCTTTCTTCTGTCTCGAGTTGTCCGTCCCCTAGCCTTATCATTTTATTCCTGGTGCAAAGCAATTTTCTAGACCCTGTTGCATAAATAGTTGAGACCAGATGCTGAGAATGATGTCGAGAAGTGATCAGAGAATAGTGATAGGATGGTTTGAAGCTATTGATCAGTATGATTTCTATTTTAAAAACATCAGATGGTTTGCTTAAATTTATGGGGAAAAGTAACAATTGAATAGTATGAAATCTGGTGGCATACTTTGAAGAGATATGAGAAAGATCTGGGAAAGCAGATGATAGTTCTTCTCAACAAGAAAAGCTGAAAGATCACAAGCTAAGTATTACCTTACTTGATCTTTTCCAACTCTTCCTCATTAGCATTGTCTGTAAATAAAATAAAGCATTTTCATTATCTTTTCACTCAAGTACAGAATAGGGGAGCCGGTTGTTTTTCAGCGGAAACATTTATTAGCCCTTAAAACAGCAAGCAGTTCCCGGCAACAACTATACGACACAAAACTTGTTTTTCACGCACACACAACTAGAGAAACAACTTTAACATTCCAGCAGTCTTTCTGGTGTGAGTTTATTTGATTTATTCCTTTGCAAAAAAAAAAAAAATGGGACAGTATATTTTTAAAAGTATGGAACATTTGGCGTGCCTTTATTGACTAAAACAACCACATTGAGTCTCTTGATTTCCAATGGCTCCTTTTGGTGGTGGAGGTTGAGGATGTGCATGACTTGATCAGGTATAAAATAATTTTTCTCTTCAAACACTTTCAAAGTCTTTGGCTTTGGTGGTGGTGTAGAACTGTCTCTGTTTCCAGTTAATCTTTAACTACATCAGGGCCTAAGAATGCTTTCAACTGAAAACAAATGCTGTGTACTGTGATGGCTACTGGTGTATTTTCCTGCTAAATGTTTAGTGAAAGCATATCCTTTAAACTAGTTAGTGTTACACTAAGAAATATGTATGGCCAAAAGTTTTAATTAAGGTTCTAGAGCTTTGTAATGTGTCCCCAAGATCATTAATGTCTTGAATAAACTAAATCATAAAAGCCCAACAATTTTTTTATTTCATCTCTTTACTTTAAAAAAATTTCTCAATGAACATCTCTCTCTTTGCTTTACTATTAAGCAAATGAAGTAGAGTATAGGAAATACTCAGGGCAAAGAATAGAGCTTAAAGTGCCTGCCATATTTGTATATCAGGAACTTGCACTTTAAGAACTGTATCTATTTCAAGAGGATTCACCAGAAAAAAGGACCATGTCAGAAACTACTCATAGATTAGAATAACACAAAAATGAAAAGATTTTAATATAAGATGAGGGTAACCTTTAACCTAAACCACAAGAATGGAATTATACATTCTACGGTAAGAACTAAGTCTAGCATAACATTTTCAAAGATAATTATACATTCCTCTTTTCTATATGAAGTGGTCTTACAGGGTGTATTTTCTCTACATACAGTCTGTGTTTAATGTTGACCAAAACATAAAAGAGTAATAGATTTCCTAAGGTTACAATGATTCCCCATCACCCCTCATTTTTTTTTAATTCAGGAAAGTGCGAAGCACTGTTATCAAATACTATTATAGAAATACTTTATGTTTTCAAAGTACTAATGCCCAATTCATTTTGAAGCAACGAATTCCAGCACTGGGTTGTAGAGATGGCCATCCAGGGGAACATGTAATAAATCTTTATTTTTGCTGTTAAATGACTTATTATCATCAGCATCATCACCACCACTACCACCAGTACCACCTCCATCATCACCAAAAGGCAACTGGAAACCAAATACTTAAGTGGTATGTTGTACTTATGAAAACTGCCCCATAAGAGTTGGATAATAAATGCTCAACTTTCTCACCAAGCGGTTTCAATGGACAAAGAACGGTATTTCCTAGAGACAATATTTTGAGTCAAATAGATCAAGAACAATTAAGATACATAAAAAAGTAAAATCTATTAATTCGTGCTCATTCATCAACATCTAGCATCTAGAAATGTTATAATATAAAATTCTATTACATAAGAAATGTTATGCTATGAAAAGGGGCCTTAGAACATTAGAAAGAGTGAAATCTCATGGCAACTCTAGTCAATGTTACAAGGATTCCACAAAGTCACATCGCCTGACTCACAAGCACCACAAAAAATTAACCTTCCATATGTAAAACAAAATATAGAGCATTTTTCCTGTCTCTCCAAATCAGCTTTATAAGCTGGCAGCATGGTTTGATTTTTCACCTTGAGAAACTGATACAGTACAAAATCAGTGATTACCCTAAGTATAAATACGAAAGATTTAGCAGTTATGAGGACCCATTCATTATTTTCCTAATTCAGTATCTAAAGTTCTGTGACTATACTCAGTGACACTCAAAATGGCCCTACATTTTATGACATTTCTGTCTCTTGAGCCAAATCTACTAGCAAAGTAACGGGCTGAAGTATCTCACTTCCAAGTCCCTTTTTCTTTTAGATAGTTGGGTTGAGGTCAATTCAACAAAATAGAAAACAGTAGAAAAGTTTAAAAAATTAATTTAATAGATATACTATTAATAATGCTTTCTTTGCTATCTGTGAGACATGTTAGAGAAGAAGGATTGGGGATTGTTAAAGATAGAAGATGAAGCAAAGTATAGAAAAATATGATTTATTTTTTGCTCCATGATCTTAACTTCAGCTGAGAAACATATGAATTAATTTTTGAAAGGATTATCATCTGATATTATTATGGTACAATTCAAATTCTTCATTAGCAGCTCAGCTTCCTTGAAGCCAGTAAAAGGAATGAAGCAGCATAAAAATATGGCTTGTGATAGAGCTGCAGAAGTGATTGTTTTTAAGATTTATCTCAATCCATTTTTAAATTTTTATCTTTTGTTGTAGCAATTTTAAGGTAATTATATAGCTACCGTACATACAAAAAAATCACAGAATAATTAGATACTATAGTAACATGCATCTTATAAAACATACATATATTCAATTTTTTGTAGGTAGATATTTCTTCAAATGTTGGCTGTGTAATAATTCTGAAGAATATCAAAACTAAACCAAGATAAAGAAGTTTTTTTTTCTTTTTTTAACTTATCAAAGGCCAAGTAAGGTCATTCATATGTTTCTTTGAATTTTCTAATTTTTAGCCTTAGGTAAGCAAGTTGTAGGTCTAGATTATTTAAGAGAGTGTGTAACACAAATTAACTCACTTTTATTTCACAAATTCTCCAATGAAGAAAGCTGTGGATTGAACTCTGCTAGAAAAAGAGCCAGAAAGAACTCAAACACACTATCAAATGAATTGGCATACATAGGACACACATATAGGCACTACACACTTTTACAGGTTCAAAAACAGGACATGCAGTCAAAACAGAAATTACAATTGTGCCATGCAACTTATCAGCATGCCCCCCATGGAGGTTTTGGCTTCTTGTACACACAATGCTGGAAACTTAAAGAAATATATATGTGTCTGTTCACGTCTGGGATTTTTTTTTTTAAGACTCCATCATGACCTCAATGGAGAATATTTTGATATGGCACCTCTGAAATACAAATCACTGCAATTAGACAGTGCATGTTTTAGAGGCTTAGGAGATTCAGTAGGCTGATTGGTTTTTCAACTCATTCTTCACTTTTACTGATTTCTAGAACTGGCAATCCACACAAGGAGAAATCATCCCAACTGCATTATTCATGGACTGTATTGTTACTATGAACAGTGCATAAAAAACTCACAAGATGACTGTTTTAGAAATCTTACCACTTTGTAATGCTAAGGACTCTGTATTTCCAGTTATTCATTTCTTCCTACCTTTGTGTGGCATTTTATTCACATTAATGTTCTATCTCCTATTTGATTGTCAGGATTTATCTGTAAAAGGCTCTTGAAATACATCTCTTTCATTCTCCATTTTAATACATATAAAATATTTAGCTTTATAAAGTTTTATAAATACAGGCATAAGAATAAACATGTGGTTTTTGGACATCTTCAGTGCTAAAAGCTTGAAATAAATTATTTCTGAGCTAGTAATCAAAGAGAACAGAACTCTTCTTACAATTTTGCTCTGTGAGGGTCAATATAAAATTTGCCTGTATTCCTTTCTTACATAATTTTCATTTTCAGGGATTGTGAAGCATTCAGTAACTGATTTCTGGTTTGCTGCATTTTTAGCTTAAATTTCTCCAAATAAAATTTGTTTCTGAATAATTTGTGAAAATTCAGCATGCCATCTTCACAGAAGTAGTATGTTATTTTTTTTAGATATGTGAAAATTTAACTTGAAGATACATTGGATCTCTGATTGTTTTTAATCAAGAAAATTCAAATGTAGCCCAGAGAAATTATAAGCTGATACTTGACATGTTACAGAATGAAGAAAATACAGTGATGGGTTTATAATTTATTGTCATCATTAGAATTCCACAGGAAGAGCAATAAATCTTGATTTCAAGCAGATTATCATTAATATATTAATTTTAAGAACTTACAAAAGAAAATTAAATCATTATTTATTCATGAGTTGATATTGTTTGTGACAACCTTAGGGATTTGAATACTGAGGTAAGAAAAAAACCATATACCCTCCCTTAGTCCTTTCAAGAAGTCATCATAAGTCATCATATATATATATATATATTTCCCCTTCTATGAGTGATAGGATGTAGGATGGAGGTGAGGTGAAGTATAGGCATACTTTAGGTAGGAGAAGTAACACTGAAGAAAGTTTGGACTTGAGAGAGGGTGAAGCATCAAGGAGTTTGTAGGGCTGGGACAGAAGGTAGTGAGGGAACATACATTGCTTGTTGGGGAGCCTTAAAGTTTCTCACCAGGAGTTTCAATTTAATTAGAGAAAGAGCCAAAAGTCACCTAACACTTAGAAGAAGAATAATGAGGGAGTTATAAAGCCTAAGATAATGCTTAGTAAATGATCAATAAGTATTTTGTTTTACATAGATGCCTACAAATTGTTCTTATTTAGAGTTTCAAAACCTAAACAGTGTTGTAAATATAAGAACTAGTTTTAGAGAGCTTAATAAAACAGTTGCAGAACTGCAATGTAGAACAAACACAGAAGAAAAGCTACTTTTTATGTGTTTGTTGGGCATTTTCATAATGTAGAGCATATATTTAGAAACCCAGATTCAAATCTAGTACACCATAATAGCTAGGATACTGAATCCCAGTAGAATTTCCAATGGGGGAATCTTTTTCCCTTCCCTCCTTTCTCCCCCCTCCTCTGACGCCGCTTGCTTCTCTACAACCAAGCCCATGCCTTGGCTATTAATTGCACCCATGAGGATGGGCCAGGAAAGCCACACTGGTTACCCTTCTCTCTGCCTCCTCCGTGGTGACCGAGGTCAGGATGGGAAGTATAAGGATGCTCACCAGCCAGAGGCTGGCTCTGGAACAGATTCAATCATTGTGACTTTTCTGAGCCCTAGCTGAGCCACTTGCTTCTCTGATGAAGAAAGAAGCCATAAAAGAGTCCATAACAGGATAAGAGGAGAGAAGATACCATTTCCCACTTAATGTAGAAGAATGAATGCAGTGCTCTCTGGAACTTTGAAAGAAGGGGGCATGAAGTAAGGCAATGAATGCAAAAAAAAACAAAAAAAACGTTTTGAGATGAAAAATAACTTTGGAAGGATTTCTTCCAAACAATCTGGGGTAGTCAAAGGGATGTGAATCAAGAAAGCAGCATGAGGATTTCAGGAGGAACTTCTTATGGTAAGGGTGAATGTGGCTGAAAAGATATGATGAAGAGAAAGGAAAAGAAGGAAAAGAAGATGAAGAAAACCAGATTTTTGATGTATAACTGCTTTCATGTAACCCACCCATTTTCTTCCCTGTTTGTATTTGATGAGTTACTGATGATCAGCTCCCAGGTACTCTCATACTTTAAAATAATTATTTTTTGAGCAATCCTAGAGATTAAAGGATTTTTACAGGGGCTGTTGAAGAAAAAGTAATGTTGGAAACTACTTTGCCTGTGCTGACATATATTTCTGTGTAATTTAGAACAACGCAGCAGCTTCATCATAAGGTCTCCTGATATTGATATTAACCTGCTTCTTCAAACCCCCAGTTTGATGCTAGAGTATTTAATAAACATCCCTTTAAGATAAAAATTTAGCTGACTATACATTATCAAATCACCCAAATAACCACAATTGCTACTATATCATTCCAACCTCCAGGAATATTGCAAGTTTAGATGGTTTGGGAATACACAGGATCTCTGGCACTTAGGTATCTTGATTTATGAAGTCCTGTCCTTCATTAAAATAACAAAGAACCCCAGCACAAGCATATTCTATCACCAAGTCTTGTTGATTTTACCTTCTATAGGTAAACCTGCCAATTTTCCTTCATCTCTACTTCTGACAGTTCTAATCCAAATCTCCATCATCTTTCACCTGGATTTTTGCCATGGCCTCCTAACTGGTCTCCAGGTATCCATTCTTACCCCTTCAGTCTGTTTTCTACAATGTAGTCACAAAGATATTTTCAAAAGGCAAATATGATTCTGCTGCTTTTGATTTATAGACCTTTCAATGGCTCCCCACAGTTTTTTGTGGAAAGACCCAAACCTTAACATGGCCAATGAGTTCTACAGTCTGGGTATCGCTCTTCCACCCTGCACTCTGATCACCCACACTCTCTTTGCTTCCACCTTCTCTAAACTCCAGTAGGTTTTCAATTCTTGGAATGCAACGTGGTTCCTCTTATCGCATGGCCTTTGTGTATGTTGTCTCCTCTGCTTTAAATACCTCCTCTCGTCCTGGTTTTTGTTTATTAAGGCCTATTTTTACTTCATACGTCAGCTCTTATTTGACTTCCTTAGAGAATTCTTAACCCCTGGCTAGTAAAAAAATTTCTTATATTTGCTCTTTCAGCAATATGTACCTCTTTTTCACAGCATTTAAAATAGTTGTTTCCATCAGCAACTAATTGATTCCTAGTTCTATTGCATCCTAAGTGTCTAGCACAGGAACTGGCTTATAGTAGGTCCTTGGTGAATACTAGAATCATTTGAATAAAACACAAAATGAACATTTCCAATTGATCTCTATGTACGGATTAGCCAGCTAGGGTATACTTCTTGGCTTGTGCTGGGTAAAATAATGTCTTCTGAAGTAGTGACTTCTAACATGATGGGCTTCCATTTCTAGATACTTTTTATAAAAATTGTTTCTCACCCACCCTTCTGCACAAGGGTGCAAGTGCACACATACATATATTATTTTACCAAGTCAAGTTCTCACACTAGGTATTATTATCTGGTAATTCTTATTTAAAAAGAGAAATTTCTTCCTCAGTGAATGAAGTATAGATACTTAACCCAATTTAGCAAGTCTTATAGATAAATGCATGTGTTCATCATTAAATTTCTAAAAAGGATGGAGAGAAATATTTCTTGAAAGGGTGAAGTTTTCAATGAGTTTAAAGTATTTCCAAATTTGAAGTTGTAATTCACTATTTTTACCTAGAGTCTAGGGGGAAATGCCAACAATACCTTTCCAGCAGACAATCTATAGCCAACTTTAATCATGCATTATTTTAGGACAGCAATATATAGATGCTGAAATAGAGTTTTTGGACTTGCCTAAAAAAATTATGCCTACTACTAAAATGTGTTACAATCAGAGCTAGTTAGAGTCATTCTGAGGCACATGAAAGCCCACTGAGTCTAATAAATAGTCTCTGGCAAATTGTGGCAGAAAGTACACTAGCAAGCATACTGATGAGGCTCAAGACTGACATTTTTTAGTTTCACTTCAACGGTGGGGGAGTAATTGGCTCCTCTGTATCCCTTGTCATTTTCTCATAGCAGCATGGTGTGCAAGTATGTACAGACAGCTAGTGCTAAAAAATGGGTAATACCAATATGGAAGCCCATCAAGAAGATGAAAAGTACTCACTTATCATTCACTAAACAAATACCAGAAAGCAGAAACTCTGTTATAATTTCACCTCGTTTTCTCTGTTATGGTACACCTGACAATACTGTCAAAATAGCAGGGTCTGGATACCTTAATATGGAATTCCAAGGATTCAATTTACTAATAAATATATTCCCCAAATAAATACTAATATTTGCCTATAATATAACATGTCTGAAGTTGAGAAATAAAATTAAAATAAAAATTCAGATCTGTTTCTTATTTACAACAAGAGGTTCTGATCTCGAGGGCGCAACAGGAAATTAGAGTTGAAAAGATACAATAAGCATGTATGAGTGATACCTAGGATACTCACAGAAACAAAGAACAGGGCATATTTTCATAGGCAGCTTCTCTTTATTATTATCTCTGGGTCCAAAGAAAGGCTCACAACATTCGAACAAGAGAGAGCAAGAAAGGGCTCCTATTAGGCTGTGGGGGAACTTACCACATCCCTAGACTCTCCTTCTTTAGGGGTAAGGATGACTGAGAGCAAAATGATTCCAAGATCATGGTCAGGATAATGAGGATCTTTCAGAGTGAGGGTCACATCGGTGGGCCTGTGATAGAAAATATTTAGATTTTAAACAGTCATTAAAAGAATATGCCAAATATATTTTTATTAATACTTTATTATTTTAAAATAAAAAGCAATTCTGTCTTCCCTTACTTTCTTGGGACAACTTTTGTTATTAAAATATTATCAGTGTATATCAGTGCATTAAGTTATCCAATAAATTATGAATAGATCTGAATGAATTTCAGATCTCTAAATTCTGAATTTCTGCTTTCTAAACCCATGAAGTTTCCAGAAAGTGGTTGGAAAGGCCAAGAAACTACAACTCTGTTGAGAAGCCTACCAGCCCCCTTTCTATGTTCTCTAAACCCAGAGAGCGGCACCATACATATATAAACAGGTATGTGTGTGCATACATACACATATACATATATATACATATACACACATGAATATATATATACACACACATAAACACTAAATACACATATGGGGTTACAGTCTGATTTAGTTCATTTTCATGTAATGATTACAAGTAAAAATTAATAGAAAAAACTTCATTACATCTTTTAATGATTACATGATAAAGATATAAGAATATTTACAACTGCTTTATTATGTATTATTCTTTCAGAGATACCTTAATGTATTATATAGTATAACATAAATATTTATATGACTACAATTATTGTCATGTTTTCTATACTTAGAGACTATTGATTTATATTTAGAATAAAATAGCATACACAAATACATTATTTTAAAAAGTAGTAATGAGATGTTTAGGTGGTTTTGAGGAGAGAAAACTGCCAGAGAAATACATGAAATATGTAATGTGGCAAAACACTCCAACTGCTCATGTATAATCTCTTAATTTCTGAAATTATTCCAAACTGTCACCATTTAAAATTATTTTTCACCAATCTTTAATAGGATAATAATAGCATAATAAATTTATGCTTTGGGATTAAGTCTAGTCATTTGCATATCCTTACACAGAAGCCTCAGAGAAAGTTCTTATGGCCTTTAGAGAAGAATAGCACAGTCTATTTTAGGCTGAGCTCAGTTTTCATGATAATAGATTCCACGCAACACCATTCAGGGGACGTCCTACAGCTGCAGCGACTGTAGGGGATGTCTTACAGTCTGTGCTAGGCTGTAGGCTGGAATGGAGGACTTATAGAAAAAGTATGGAAAAGGCTGCTCTTTTGTCCAGTCTGAGGCAACAATGACTATCGGAAGACCAATAAGCCATTGTACTCAAACTAAACTGATTGTAATGCATAAGGGAGTTCTACACTTTATATTTCTCTAGTCATCTACGTTTACAGAAATAGAAAGTAGTGATCTGGCTCATTACTCTGTTTTTCTGTTTTCCACCATCTCCGCCACATGATGTAACACAATCTCATCCAAAACAGCCAGGAATTCCTTCTTAAAACAATCAAAGAAAGTTTCACAGCTTTCTTTGCAAGCTATTTCAGCATGCATGATCTTTTCTAATGGTGTTTTTTATTTTCTATAGGACAAATCAATTCTTAGTTCCTACATTGAAATTTACTTTAAAAAATTTAAGCCCATTATTAGGTATAAGAAATGATTAATATTAGTAACAATATTAACTAACATTGGTAACAATAATCACTTTGCAACTAGGGAAGCAATGATAATAATGTAATTGAGCAAATACAACCAACCTGCCTCTACCTTAGGAGCATTCCTTGGTAATCTGGCAATGGCAAAACCAGATTCTACTGTGTGGCTCAAGTAACAAGAGGCTTGCCATTTCTAAAGCAAAGTGCACACACTGTATTTCATATATAGTAGTCTAATTCTTAATAACTATGACTAACATGCATAATCTTTTTTTATACCCCACTACAACCATATGGGCAATGTGAAAGGAAGGAATGTGTCTTTTATTTCTAGATTCCTGGTGCTTAGCACAGTACTGTGGAACAGAGCAAGTATCCAAGAATTTTTCTGTTGAAGAGTTGTTGAATAAGGTAGTCAGGGAAGATGCTATTATTTCCATTGGATAAGTAAGGAAGATAGATTTGAGAAATGCTGACTAGCTGGATGGCTCACCGCAATAAATGACAGAACGAGGCCCCAGATCAGCTGACATTTTCTGTTACACAAGCCCACCGCATAACAAAGGGTGGTGATATTACAGTAGTTCAAAAGCTAACCTGTTTAACTCCAGTTGTGCCAGATCCAGAAAGGCTGAGCCCATAAAGTCATCCTGTAGTCCAAAATCATAGTCAAATACCTGAAAGCCAAAGAGAAAAAGCACTGTTAAAACTATTTCCAAGATAAGCTTTAAGTGATAATGTCTTGGTCATAAAATGTAGGTTGTCTACGTCACCAAAAGCACACTAATATTTGTTTTTTAAAATAATTGTTTTGTACTTTGGAATATTAGAGTCTCACAAAATGCTCAAAGAAAATGACATTTTATTTATTACTTAATATTACCGATTGATTATATCAAACAGAACTTTAAGGCAGATGTAACAAAATCAAATAAAATATAGTAAATCTTCAAAAATGTGGGGAAAAGTATAAAATTCAACAAGTATGTCTTTCATATGGGGCTATGGTTGATGAGAATTTGATTCTAATATCTTCATAGTTTTTAGCCCATTAAAGATACATTCTGTGATTACAGGACAGTGCTACTTTAAGCATACAAATAAGTAAAGAGATACTATGATTGAAGTATTTTATAAACTTATATTAAGGTTAAGTTAAAATAACAATTACTGGGGGATAATACTAATGTAACTAACAACAACAAAAAATAAAAAAGGAAAAGGAAGAGATAATGTATTTCTTCCTTTTGTCAATAATCTCTACCCAGTATCTTCTCTGTGTCTTGTGTGGTTCTTATTTATTCTATGGTGAGTATGACAGACAATGTCTCTGACCTCTTGGATTCTACATGGAGGGTCTGAGACGGCCAATAAATAGCTAAATAGATATATACAGTTCAGTTATAAGTACTATGAAACAAATAAATGTCTAAGAGGTGTGAGGAGAGATGCTATTTTAGATGGGGAGTCCAGGAAGTCCTCTCTTGAGAACACGTTTGTGTAGACACCCAAATAATGGGAAGGAGTAAACTATGCTTGTGTGAGCGAGGGCACTCCAGATGAAGGACATGGCAAGCCTAGGGAAGGGCTGATGTGCTTCACCTATCAGTTGTAATCAGCAAGAAACCAGTGCAGTTGAAACAAATGGATAGAGATGCAGAATGGAAAGAGGCTGAAGGGATCCCTTCAGAGCTGGATCAGTTAGGGCCATTGCCAAAGGATGCTAAGTAAATGGGAACTGGCTAACTTCCATCCATCTATTAATTTTCTCACTCATTCAATCCCTCAGCCAATATTGACTAAGTGCTTATTATATGCCAGGCAATATGGTAGGCACTGAGTAAACAGTGGTAAGCAAAACTGCCATTTTCAATGCTTACAGTTTAGTGAGCGAGACAAATGTTAAACTAGGATGTGTAGGTGACACGCAGTTACTAATACTGATTGCTTTTTTTTTTTAGATGGAGTTTTGCTCTTGTTACCCAGGCTGGAGTGCAATGGCCCTTCCCTAGGCTTGCTATGTCCTCGGCTCACTGCAACCTCTGCCTCCCGGGTTCAAGCAATTCTCCTGCCTCAGCCTCCCAAAGTAGCTGGGACTACAGGTGCGTGCCACCATGCCCAGCTAAATTTTGTATTTTTAGTAAAGATGGGATTTCACCATGTTGACCAGGATGGTCTCAATCTCCTGACCTCGTGATCCGCCCGCCTCAGTCTCCCAAAGTGCTGGGATTACAGGTGTGAGCCACCGCGCTTGGCCTGATTAAGTGTGTTTTAAAGCAGAGAGAATGAAAAGACAGTAAGGAAGCAAGTGAGGAAGATCAGTGAAAGCCTTTAACATAAAAAAAAAAAATGCTACCAAAGGAATTTAGGGCTGTCACTTGCTGACCCTTTCAGATAGAAAATATTTGTATTGAACATTGGAGTAATCGAACATACACAGATAAATATGCTCTTGAATGGAAGACCCAGGCCTTTGGATGCTCCAGGATGTGAGCATCTATGAAGCTGAATAAATAGCCCAGCTCTCCTATACTCAATTCTTGACACAACAGTTACAAAGCTCAAAGCAGAGGATACAATAGGCACAGCAGCCCTGAATCAGGTTTTTTTTTTTTTTTCTGTAGTACAGGTGTACTTCAATTTAAGAAAACTTAATATGTAAAAAATTGATATTTAAATAAAAAGATAAATACTTTGCATTACAAAAGGATTCTTAGATTGAAGAGTCACATGGGGATTTATTTAAGTAATAAGCTCCTCTAATGCCTTTTAAATTATTCAATTTTCAGTCATTTGATTTACATACAACCTTTCATGAGTACATTTATTGTAGAAAGCTCAGCACTACTGCAATAAATATTCTGCTTGATCAATTACACTTCTGAGCTTTAGTCATCTGCTCAGTGGCATAGCACATGTGTGTATTGCACAGCTTATGCAACTGACATCTCCGTATTTGCAAGTGGCTGCAGCAGTGTATTTTACGACATAAAATTTACACCAAAACAATGGAGAAATTTCTCTCGTGCAATCTCATCTAATCATATCACCCTTAGGCTTAAAATCTTGGGGGAGAAAATAGGTGGCATATAATCAATGAGATCACCTGAGGTTCACCCACACCTATGAGGTGGAGAGCTGTGAATCCAGTGAGTCTATTAGTGCAGATAGCCCAACTGGGTGATTCAACATCCAACATCTTTTCACTCTCATAGTGAGAGTCTTTCCTATTATCCTAGTGCTAGATGTTTACTTTATTTCTCAATTCCTATTAATCTGCAAAGGCATAAACATGTGAAGAAATGGAAACACTAGAATCTATGCATTAATGAAATTATTAGCTATGCTACTTGGTTCCAAGCTCTATACACTATTTATTTGTCAGAGGGAGCATTGCTCCAGGTAAGCTTCAGAAATGCAGAGCATATGAGAGAGATAAAATAGGAAAAGCTACTCCCACTGCAATAACAACAAGCACAGTTTAATGCTTATTAATTTTTTTCAATATTTACCAGGAATAACCCAGTTAACAAGGTATTGTTGTTTCTATTTTTCAGATAATGAATCCAAAGGTGAAAAAAATACATATTCTTTACCCCAAATCCTATGTCTAGGAAGATACAAGATTCAAATCTTGTTGCATTGAGTGCCATAAACAGAGTGTGTTTAAATCCCACAAATATGTCTTAGGCACCCACTGTAAGAGAAGCACTGAAAATTAAAACATGAATTATTTAGATGAGATCCTTACTTTCATGGAGCCTTCACACCATTAGTTGGAACCATTAGGTAACAGGTAGAAGTTGCCTGGGACTTGGGACCTTCTGCATTCTCAAGTGAGTTTAGAACAGTAAATATTTTATTTTAAACAACAAGTTCACCTTATTGTTTACTAAAAATCCATTGGGAAGTGTATCAGCTAAAATGCGTTTGTTTTGTTTTTAATAGAAAACACAATTCAACCGGCTTCAATTTCTAGCTTAAATGACTGAAGAAATATCTATAGGTAATTATGTCTTCTAGGAAGTTTTACTTTGGCAGTTCAAATGATTCATGCATTTATCAATTTATTTATTTGAAAAAGATTTGGTGAGCACCCACAATGTTCCAGGTACTGTTCTAGGCACTTGAAATATAGCAGTGATCAAAACAGTCAGTCTTTGATTTCTTGGAGCTTACATATGGGGTGGGGAGAGAAAGACAATAAAGAAATACATATGCTAAGTACTGGTGATAAGTGCTAAGGAGAAAAATATTTCAGAGTACTGGAGTGATGGGAACTACTATGTATATATGATGTTCAGAAAGGACAATGAGAGCGGGAGGTATTTCCCCACGATGGGAGAAGTGTGTTTCATAACGAGGGAATAGGAAAGTGCATTCCATGATGGGGGAAGTGTCTTCTGCGCAGAGGGTATATGAAGTGGAAAGCCACTGAGGAAACTGGCCGGGGGCCAGTGTGGCTGGAAAGTAGAAAGCAAGAGAAGAGTGCTGGAGTATTAGTTCAGGCTTAGGCCATGGTGCCTGCCATCATATTTTAAAACCTGGAAGAAGGATCCAGAGAGAAGACTGAGAAGGACCAGTTACCAAGGGAGCAGGAGAGTGGTATCCTATGTTTTCCTAAACCGGGAGAGTGGTATCCTGAAAACATACTCAAGAAAGTATGTTAAAATGGAGGGAGGAGTTAACTGTATCAAAGGTAAATGATGTAACTTAATCCCATTTCTGCCTCTCCAGTTCTCATCAGTGCTTCCCTGTCATTACTGCCTCAATAGCCCCCCTACGATCCTAATGGACTGCCAGGAGGTCCAGAGTGGCGTGCTTCTTCATTCATGTCTAGCCGAGTAATATGTCCATGTCCTAGGAAACTTGTACCTAAGCTAGAGGGAACAGCCCTGTTTGTTTCTTCAACCTCTGCCTTTACTTTGTTTTGAAGTTTATTTCTGATTTATGACCCTATTTCCAGCATCTCTGGAATCTACTTTTGTTGCCTTGGAATTGTGCTTTCCTGGTCTCTGTCTGCAAACTGAAAATAGCCCTATCTCCTCCCTGTGATATCGTACTCTGATCTTGCCCAGTCCTTGGGCTCTACCTTGACACAAAGCAATATTGTTAACATCCCACAGGATTTTCTCCAGCCCCAGTACTGGGGAAATGGACAATGGATGTATGGATAATATGGCTTTTCCATATCTATCTATCTATCATTTCCTATTGCAGTTCACTGTCTGTGCCTAATTATGTTCTGAATTATGACAGTGAGCATCAAATTGGCACCCATTCAGTTATATGACATCATGCCTTAGGATTTTTCTATTGCATTCCCTGCATGGTAATGTCTGACTGAATTAGCAATAATATACTTGTAACCTCATTTTTCTATTTCCCACGGAATGTATGATTATATCCAATTTCAAAATAATCTAAAAATATTTTAGTGTTGGTGTACTAATTATACAAATATGATGTATAATTGGTACCATAATATAGATATAATATATAATAATATATATATTTTTTGAGACAGCATCATACTCTGTCACCCAGGCTAGAGTACAGTGACGTGATCATGGCTGTCACTGCAACCTTAAACTACTGGGCTCAAGAAATCCTCCAGCCTCAGCCTCCCAAGAGCTGGGACCACAGGTGCATGCGACCATGCCTGGCTTTTTAAAAA